TTGTTTGTAAGAAGCGTAAGATTTTAGATGCATGGCTTGATTACAAGGCCATAATATGATGACTTTAAAGCATCATAATGGATTGATAATATTGAGCATAACTTACTCTTTAGTGGCAATTGAGTGGATAAAAATAAGGCATGTCATGAACATAAATAATATACTTCAACCATGTTCTCAAGTGATCAAGGATAATTGGAGATAATGAAAGTTCATGATTCTTAATATTATTCATTCACAATCAATGATCAGATGAAGACATAACCACATGCCTGCAATCAACCACCGTTATGAGCTCAATATGTCTACAATCAAGGGTATAAAGAATGGCGGCAGAGACAACATGTCCTTCACACATTCAAGGTATCTACCAATTATTATGGAAAAGACACTATGATATCTCCATGATCAACAATTGTCCAACATCAATCGAACACATCGGCCCTCTATAAGAAAAGATAATGATATGTAATGGAGTATAAATATGTAAGGGGTTGTAGAATACTCCTTATACATACCACATGATGTTTACAAGTAGAAGCATATGAGATACGATAAGTGCAAAGTATATACAAGTCGTTATAGAAGAACTGTCGTACACCCAATATGTCATATATAGGGCAAATACAGAAGGGAACTGTAGTAGATAAGAGCTCTTACAAGATGCTGTAGAAGACCTGTAGTACGCCCAATATGTTGTCCACATGCAAAGATACCAAATGACTACACATCAAATGCAAAGCAGAAGATTCGTTAGTGCACTACGATCCACCTGCAAAAAGCAACGAGTAGTGCATGACAATCTACCTGTACGCAGCAGCGAACAACTTTATTCAGAAGCTGCTACGCCACGCCACCGAATCCGTAATTTCTATGCAAGCGAACAAAAGGCATCTACAAATACTTTCAAAGTATCCCCGCACATACACAGTAGTTTGGGCCCCAGCGAGCGTGTTATAGAAATACACATGACGTCTAAGGATGCTGCGCGGGTTATCAAATTTTGAACCCGATCCTCCTAAGAAGATAAAAGGAGTGGACATGATTCAATTATAAAATGCCCCCAAACACTCGTATGGGCCCTAGTGAGCGTGTTGTTGATACACACGTGACGTCTAGGGATGCTGCGCGGGTTAATAAGTGAATTCAAGTTCGAACCCGATCCTTCTATACAGATCAATAGAAGTCGACAGGGTTTGAACCTTTAAACAAATATATATTTGTGGAGACCGATATATTTATTTTAATACATTCATATTAGGCCGTCAAGGCTTATCATCAAGAGAATTCACTAACAAAGACATAAAATCTACAAGAAATCCGATCCTCGGTCAACAGCTTTGTCTAGTCGACAAGGTTTAATCAACAAAGAGAAATAACCCCAAACACCCCGATGATGGCCGTATTGATTTCTTATCTCAACCGGAGGGGTTCACAAATATTTTTCAAATGCCATTCCAAATACTCAAATTTCCATCCAAATTCCCACAAAAATCCAGAAAATTCTCAAAAATTCAAAAAATATTTAAATTTGAAATTCAACCCATTAATCACTTAAAACAAAATCCATCCACCCTCCACAATAGTTTACCGGGGTGGACAAATCAAAATTTACCTAAGCTCACAAAAGAGTGATCGGGAGGGGTAATTAACTATAGGGGCTTGAGCCTATAGGAAACCAGAACTCAGATCATAAAGTCCTCATAAAATGAGGACAAAATCTCTGGGTAGTGTCTTATCTACAAACTCCTCTGCCTTCTAAAATTTACCCCGAAACTTAATCCGTTAAAACTCCCCTCGCCGAATAAAAAAGAAAAAAGTGCAAGCGGGGAGGTCGGGGCCGAATTTTCGGAGCCCACAAGTATTTAAGTATCTTATTGATATTACAATTTAGTGATATTGAGCTCGTTGGATTCCCCTTGTTGTGAAGCTCATTTTATTGAAAGTATAAAAGATTCAGAAAATTTTTTGTTCCTCAAACAATGTTATGAAGTTTAATTTAGTGATATTGAGATTTTTGATCTTAGATCAAGACACCTTTGATGTTGTTTTATTTTCTCTTATCTAAATATTTGTTTTTGGTTATAAATTTGCTTAATATAAAGTTTTAGCAGTCCCAAAATTGATCTTAAAAGTTTATGAATCAATTACTTACGTCAATATTTTCGCTTGATTCGATGGTTTCATCACTAAACTACTACTCAATATGGATTACTATTTATTCCATATTAGCATATATTGTATTTCATATGTTCATCATATCTATTTGTTCCATGTTCATAAGCTATATATCATTATATATTCTATATTATCCAAACATAGCATTATCTCACTCTCTTATGACCAATCTTGTTTTCATTTTTTATCTTCAACAGAGTAATATGACACAGTTGAGATTATTATATGGATTACTATGCACAAAAGATGAGTTCATTGATGATTCCCCAGTAATCTTATATGATTATAATGATGAAACTTTTATCATAAAATTTTACAAATATTTGCAAATACTTCTATGCATAAATAAATTTTATGATAAATAAAAATTGTTAGGATTTTGAATGAGGAAGAAGATTCTTGGACGAGAGAGAGAGAGAGAGAGAGAGAGAGAGAGAGAGAGAGAGAGAGAGAGATTACAACCTCTTTATAAAGAGGAATAAGATTACTAGATAACATGTTCCTAAAAAACAATCTAACCTAAAATAGACCAATGCCTAACAAAAATAATGCTCCAAATACTATAATATTATACCTTTGCTAAATTATTGTAAATATTTTTCAATAAATAAATTTGACTATAAGCATTAATTTGATACTTGTATGTTTAAAGTAGTTATATAATACCTTTTTTGAAAAATCAAGGATGCTTGAACTGTTAATTACCAATGAATCGAGTCTCAGCATCAGGATTTAATTATTTTGTGCGGACGCCGAACGTCGTCTTGAGACCAATCAGAATGCGCCACACGTCACCCCTTCGCTCGGTACTGCGCTCGGTACTGTTCGGTACCGCTGACGTGACGTATTCTGGTTGGTCTTCAAATGACATTTTGGGACCGGCTTCCGAACATAATAATTTCTCCAGCATCATCCTAATTAGAATATCATTTCCACTCATCATTAATACACTACTTGATGAGGTTGTTGGGCACTTTGGCCTCTACCTTCATAAATTTGTTGGCAAATATTCAAACCCTCCAACTCCCAAGCATTCATATTTACTCCCCCTTGCCTTCTTTAACATTTTCATGATCTCTTCTCTTGAGTCTACTAGATGAGCTTTGTTTATAATTTTTTGCACACTGGATTTATATATTTAATTTGTATTGGAAAATATGATGCAAAAACAATTTATTCGGGGAGAATTGCTATTAAGTCCCAGTGCATTTTGTTATTTATTTATTTATTGTGCTTACTTTTTTGCAAATAATATGTAATAGCTTTTTTGCTATTAATTCTTATTAAACACCATTTGATACCGCTTTTTTTCTGCTTCTTAAATATGTTTTTAAATAGAAAATAATTAATTATTTAACTAAAAGATTGTTTTAAAAAGCAGTAATAAAACCTTCTCAAATGAATCCTAAATCTGCTTGTTTTCTTATAAATAATATTAATAATAATATGCAATAAAATAAGATTCTTGTTTTCATATAATAATCACATATTATGAGAAGAATTAATGGGGATGGAGAGCGTGATTGAAAATATATCTATTTAAAAAATTTATGTAATAATATTTAAATTTTAAAATTATAAAAAACAATTAAAATATAACACTTAAATGGCCATAAACTATGATGCACCGACACAGCACTTAGAGAGGGTATGCAGTGTCGGACACGTGTCGGACATGGACACGCGTCAGACACGGCATGGACACGTGTCCGACACGGCATGGGAGTGTCGCAATTAAAAAAAATAAAATTAAAATCGGACACGTGTGTCCGGTTATTAAATGAGGTATCGCTAGGTACATGCTCGGTACCGCTAAGTACATGCTCGGTATTGCTCAGTACATGCTCGGTATTGCTCAGTACATGCTCGGTACCGCTCAGTACATGCTCGGTAATGCTCAGTACATGCTCGGTACCGCTCAGTACATGCTCGATACCGCTCAGTACATGCTCGGTACCGCTCAGTGCATGCTCAGTACTGCTCAATATATGCTCGTTACCGCTTGGTACAATCTCGATACTGCTAGGTACATGATCGGTACCGCTCAATATATGCTCGGTACCGCTTGATACATGCTTACGAACTTTAAAAACAAGCATAACTTCAAAATTACTCTTACAATAAAATTTTGTTCCGGGGGCGTTGCCCCCGAAAACCCCAGCAGGGGCGTTGCCCCCGGAAACCCCCGCAGGGGCGCTGCCTCTTGACCCTGCGACCTGACCGGGCAGGTCGAACCCCGCCAGGGGGCAGCGCCCCCTTGGACCTCCGGCAGACTGGTATATTGTTGTATTTATGTTGTCTTATTATTGAGATATTTTGATTTCACTTCATATCAATTTAATTTGGTGTATTAATATGTATGATTGGTTTGTTAGCAAAATGAGCTCTGATACTGACGGGGGTGGATTAGGTGAAGTTTCAAAAGAGCCATCTGTCCATGTCGTGTCCGTGTCCTATATTTTTAAAATTTTTTGTATATTATATTAAAAAAAATATTATGTCGTGTCCACGCTGCACCCGTGTCCTATATTTTTAAAAATTGCCGTGTCGTGTCGTGTTCGTGTCACCGTGTCCGTGTCATCATGTCCGTGTCGGTGCATCATAGGACATAAATAAAATTCCAATAAAATTGTGATTGAAATTATAACTATTTTTAATCATAAAATAAATTTTAATCAATTCTTATTACGTTAAAATCTTAAGTCCACTACTTTATAATGCGAGTGAAACTCTCAACCATTCCATTAAACCGTTTGGCTAAACTTTTATCACCGACTTTCCCCACCAACACTATAAATAGGTTTCCTCCCCTACTTCACAAGTCCTCATTCCATATCCCTTCTTGCTTAGCGCCTTAGCCCCTTCACGTCTTCACAAACAATATAAATTTTATTCCAACAATGCAGAACCTCACCACTGCTCTGATCTCCCACCATCCCAACTCTCTCCAGTTAATTTTCACGGCCATCCTCCACCACCATTACCTCATCCCCTCCCCCTTCCTCCTCCCCGTCCTCCTCCTCTTCATTTTCAGCCTCCTCGCCCTCGCCATGTCCCGCCGCCCCCGCCCCATCTACCTCATCAACTTCTCCTGCTTTAAACCTGAAAACCAGTACAAAGTTACCAGAGAAACTTTTATGAAACAGTTCAAAAGCAAGGGAACTTTCACCGATGAGAGCGTGGGGTTCCAACGCCGGATGCTGGAGCGTTCTGGCATCGGGCAGGAAACTTACCTGCCCGAATCTATCCTCGGGACGCAAATCAATATGTGCGCTGCAGCGGCAAGGAAGGAGGCGGCGATGGTGGTGTTTGGAGCGGTGGATGAGCTTATGGCGGTCACCGGAGTGAGGCCCAAGGATATTGCTGTGGTGGTCGTGAATTGTTCTGTTTACAATCCTACGCCAACCATGGCGTCGATGGTTGTTAACAGGTATAAGCTAAGGGGGAATGTGAAGAGCTATAATCTTGCTGGAATGGGATGCAGTGCTGGAGTTATAGCGATTGATTTGGCCAAGCGGCTGCTGCAGGTTGGTTTCAAATTAAATTTTTTTTTCTTTAAGTAATTTGCATCAGTTTGGACTTTAGATTTGCATATATAGAGATTTATAAATAATTTTGATTTTTTCTTTTAACATTTCTTCCATAAACAATAGCATACGTCTATCATTATTTTTGCAGTATGTCTTCTTATTTTTTAAATGCATGTTAGAATAAGGCTTCTTTGGCACGACTTTCTTTTATAAGTACTTTTTGAACCAGCTTTTCATACAAAAAAAATTTAATTTAAATTTTTTTTTACCAGAGACCTGCTTTAAAAAATAATTAAAAAGTAGCCTGAAACGAAGTCTAGGACTTTTTTATTACTTCTTAAAATAACTTTTTAATTCAAAATTAAAATTATTATACTAAATAATCACTTTAAGAAGCCTAAAGTTTCATTTGATAAACCCTCAACTTCATGTGATAAATATTATGACAAGTTGTGATCCAGTCCTACTAATACTTCTTATATTGAACATTTTTCTTTTTTGAATTGCTTGTCATATATATAAACTAATATGGTGATAGTGTACTGATTTTGATGCGTATAATAATTAAATTTTATATAACATATTAGATAATTATCCTAAATTATTAGAAAATATAACTAATTTATCAGATATTTATAGTTGTTGACAGTTACAAATATATAATATATATATATATTTATTTATTTATTTATTTTTATCATAATATCAAGAAACCCGTGTGAACACCGCATTTAACATCTCGGCACGTGTTAGAGCCGACGTCCTTTATTAGTGGACGGAAAAGCCAGCCAACTTGCAAGATCCACAAAACATCCAGCTATTTTTTTATCAAATATTTCTGTGAAATGATAAAAATTATCTTCATTGTTGTTTAACATTATAAAAAAAAAAACAGATAATTACATCATAATTGGAAAATTATTTTATGCGGAGATCGAACGGCGAGAACAGTCCAAATGTATTTTCATTTTGCTGCGTTTTTGCAAATCAGTAAATTTTCAATTAGTAGTATATTTGTTGTTTTTTTAGTTATAATTTTGTTACACTTTTGCAAATATTCAACAAAATGTAGCAAAAATGCAATGATAATTCACTTTTGCTATCTTTTGCTGAGTATATACAAAAGCATAACAAAAATACAACTAAAACACAACAAATTCAGAAGATTATTGCAGTCTGGTCTCCGCACAAAATAATTTTTCCATCATAATTACTATTTTAAATCTTTTATAAAATTTATTAATTGAACATTTTTTTAATTTAACTAATTTTAACTTGGAGCGATTGTTTCACGCGCAGGTGCATAGCGACAGCTACGCCGTTGTAATAAGCACAGAGAACATTACCCTCAACCCTTACTTCGGCAATGACCGCTCCATGCTCGTCTCCAACAGCCTCTTCCGCATGGGCGCCTCCGCCGTCCTCCTCTCCAACCGCCGCTCCGATCGCCACCGCTCAAAATACCAACTCCTCCACTCCATCCGCACCCACACCGGCTCCTCCCCTCGCTCCTACTCCTGCATCTTCCAACAAGAAGACTCTTCCGACCACCTCGGAATCTCCCTCTCCAAAGACCTCATGTCCGTTGCCGCCACCGCACTCCGCACCAACATCTCCTCCCTCGGCCCCCTCATCCTCCCCTTCTCCGAACAGCTTCGCTTTCTTCTCGCCTTCCTCTCCTTCCGCGTCCTGCTCCAAAACAAAAAACAGAGTACCTATGTTCCAAACTTTCGAAAAGCAGTCAAACATTTCTGTATCCACGCCGGAGGCAGAGCGGTGCTGGATCAGCTGGAGAAGAGCATGGGGTTGAGTGAGTGGCATATGGAGCCGTCGAGGATGACGCTTTATAGGTTCGGGAATACTTCGAGTAGTTCTTTGTGGTATGAATTGGCGTATTGTGAGGCCAAGGGGAGGATAAAGGAGGGGGATAAGGTGTGGCAGATTGCGCTCGGATCGGGATTCAAGTGTAATAGCGCGGTCTGGAAGGCGATGAGGACGGTGGAGGGATGCGGGGAGGTTGGGAGGAAGGGAAATCCGTGGGTGGGGGAGATTGATCAGTTTCCGGTGGTGGTGCCGAAGGAAGTAGCGGTGGTTGCTTGATGATCAGTTAACTAAAGAGAACAAAAAAAAAAAAAGTATTTGGATCAGCCAATTTCAAGATGGACTAATGAAAGTACGTTACAGCAAGAAAAAAAGTGTGAGATTATTTAAAGAGTGATCAGGAGGATTAACTTGATGAGATTAGTGTAATATTAATTATATATGTTTTATAATTGTCTTGAAATATATCAAAATACTTCGAGATTGATTCTGATGAAATTGTCTCAATGCGGTAATTTTTATTGTCTTCTATATTTTTTACAAAGAGCATTTTTTATCTTTTTTTTTTTTTTTTTTTTTTTTTTTTTTTTTTTTTTTTTTTTTTTGCGCAGCAAGCGTGTTTCTCATCTAGCTTATGAGAAGATCCCGATATTTGGTTAATTAATCTCTTGTAATTAATTTAATTCAGCATGATATCATTAGCTAAGTAAATGGCATGGAATGGACTTTGTAAGGCTTAGTTTGGAACAGCTTTTTTAAATATTTTTTTAGTAAAAAAAGTATAATTCATTAAAGCTTTATATATATATATATACACACACACGCGCTAGTGATGAGGAGTCTACGGATCAAAGACTACTGAGACAAGCACTTAGAGACAAATTCATGGAGGGCTTCATCATAAATTTAACACATAAATATTTAGGGATTTTTACATGACTAACATTTAAAACTACTCTACTTATCTAACATCCAAATTTCACTATTTACTATTCTACCACCTAAAACACTACTAGTTTACCTAAATTACTACTCACGTTACCTCCAGTTACATCCTTCACCCCGACCCTATCTTTCACGCGGGAATCACTTCTCCGAAGAGAATGTCCCGATCGAGCAACTCCACGTCGCCCACGCCGGTTGTCTTCTCCATGTCGCCCACTCCGATCGTCTTCTCCAGGCCATCCGAATACAGCTCAACCGATCCGAACTGCTATGCGAACATCCCATATATCCGAGGGCATATTCAAAAATTAGGTGCTCATGTTGCCCACACCGGTCGTCTTCTCCATGCCGCCCACGACGAATGTTTTTTGGATTTTGGCTGCTACTTGTTTCTCCTTAATAGATTCAGAAATGTAGCTTTTTTTATTCACAAATGCAGCCTGCACCTTTAAATTTTGATCTCGCTCGTGTTCTGAACTCTCAAAAGTTGCTTCTTCATGAATTAGTGCACTAGATTCAGATCTCGCTATAGCAAATAATTGCTGCCACTACAAAATCTAGGATAAGAATCTGAATCTATTTACACTTTAACTTAAACAAGTCTCCATTTATTTCTCTAAACATTTTCTCTTCAAGATTTGAAATGAAAAATGTATAGAGGAAAACAAATATGAAACAATTTAAAAATTAATGGTGATAATTCTATTCAGATTAATTAATATATTTAAACTGACTTTAATTATAACCTTTTTTGTAAGTAAATGAAAAATCTAATGATTTAGTAGTCATTATCACCAAGATTTATTTGTGTCTGTGACTAAGGGGTTATTTTTGTTGAGAGAGAAGTCTCGTGATTCCCTTGGGTAGAGAGGGTGTACGAGAGAGAGATGAAGAAGCTTTCTCAGAGAAAGTAAAGATTATATTTTCGTTACTTGTTTTTGATACAGGGTATATACATATATAGCGAAAATGGACAAAGAAAGGTACGGTCCTCTTCTAACGTTAACCTTGTAAACCATACAAGGCTTGACACGTGGAAAGGCTTCTAACAATTTTATTAGCCGTAAAGTGAATGTAGTATAAAGTAAATACTTGAAGGTTGTTTGGTTGTATGTAAAGTGAATATAGGGAAATTAGTTTTCTGTTTGGTTGGATGTATATAGTGTAAAGTAAGTATATACATATATAGCAAAACTGGACAAAGAAAGGTACGGCCTTATTCTAACGTTTAACCTTGTGAACCATACAAGGCTTGACACGTGGAAGGACTTCTAACAGCCCCCTTCAAACTAATGGCTACAAAGTGGCTGTGAGTTTGCTTGAGAGGAACTTGAATCTTTGGGTAGGTAGCGCCTTGGTAAATAAATCGGCAATTTGGTCGGTTGTGCATATGTGATGAACTGAGATGTGTTGTTTCTTGATGCAGTCCCGAATGAAGTGACAGTCGACCTCTATGTGTTTTGTTCGGGCATGGAAGACTGGGTTGTTGGCGAGGGCGATGGCCGATGTGTTGTCGCAGTAGACGGTAGTAGGAAGGTTTTGAGGAGTGTGTAGTTCTTCGAGAAGGCGTCTTAGCCATAGAATTTCTGCGGCTTCAGCTGCGAGTGCGCGATATTCGGCTTCGGTGGAGGAGCGAGCTATTGTGCTTTGTTTCTTTACTTGCCAAGAGATGGGAGATTGACCAAGGAAGTTGCAGAAGCCCGAGATGGAGGACCGGTCTTGTTGGTTGCTTGCCCAATCTGCGTCAACATAACCTTGTAATAAAAGAGAGTTGCTGTTTAAAGGTATTCCGGTTAGCATAGTACCTTGAATGTAGCGGAGAAGGCGCTTAAGGGCGTCGTGATGAGAGTTGAGCGGTAGGTGCATGTGTTGACATAGTTGCTGTACGGCGAATTGAATGTCCGGTCGGGTAAGCGTGAGGTACTGTAGAGAGCCTATGATCTGTCGGTATAGCTGCGGGTGATCGTATGGTTCGGTTGAAGTTGAGGAAACCGTTGTTTTGGTGGGAATCGGAGTTGAGACAGGTTTTGATTGAGCCATTCCCGCTTTGTCAAGAATTTTCTGTGCGTACGTTTGCTGGTGGAGTATAACGCCGGTGGGAGTTCGTTTGGATTGAATACCGAGGAATTGTGACAATGGTCCGAGATTACGCATCTGAAAATGATTATGTAGATTAGAGAGCAGTTTTTGTATTGCGGTGGCGGAGTTACCTGTGAGTAGTATGTCGTCGACGTAGATAAGTATGTAGATCCGCGTGTCGCCTTGTTTGAACGTGAGCAGCGAGTGATCGGAAGAGCTGATTTGGAAGCCGTATGTAACCAGGTGGTTGGACAAGGTAGCATACCACTCGCGCGGTGATTGTTTAAGCCCGTATAGGGCTTTCTTTAGGCGGCAGATGTAGTTCGGATGAATGGAGTCTTGAAATCCGGGCGGTTGATGCATGTAGACGGTGTCGGAGAGCGTCCCATGTAGAAAGGCGTTGGACACGTCTAACTGATGAACTGTCCAATTGTGGTGGAGAGCTAAGAGGATAAGGATACGTACAGTGGGCATTTTTGCTACGGGGCTGAATGTTTCTGTGTAATCAATGCCGTGTTCTTGGTTGTATCCTTTTGCGACGAGGCGGGCTTTGTAGCGTGCGATGGTTCCATCGGAGTTGTATTTGGTTCGGAACGTCCATTTTGAGCCGAGTATGTTTTGAGAAGGGTTGGGGGGTACAAGTTCCCATGTCCCTTGAGATTGTAAAGCTTGAAATTCTTGTGACATTGCAGTGCGCCATTGTTCTGATTTAGCTGCCTGATTGTATGTGGTTGGTTCGGTTGTTTGAGTAGTGTGTATGAGATCAAAGATTTTCTTTGGCTGTTGATGACCAGTTTTTAAGCGGGTGAGCATATGATGTCCTGTAGGCTGTGACGAGGTTGGCTTGGTGATGATTCGGCTATTGCTCGGGCTTGTGGTGGTAGTGGAGGTAATAGGAAGACCGAGATCTGGCTGTTGTTCCGGGACCGAGGCTGGGGATGGTGAGGTAACGGATTGAGAGGGTGGAGTATAGTAGCTTGTGTGATTGTGATTGGCTTGAGGTGAAGCATTAGACGTGCTGATGCTAGAGGTTGGAACCAGAAGAAGTGGTGGTGTTAGTGATTGGGATGTGTGGTTGTGTGTGGAAAGGTTGGAGGAAGTGGCATAGGGAAATATTGATTCATTGAAGATAACGTGGTTGGAGGTGTAGATTCGGTTTGTTTTGGGTTCTAAGCAGCGGTAGCCTTTTTGTTGTGCGGCGTAGCCTATGAACACGCAAGGGTGAGAAACAGGTGACAGTTTGGTGGTTGTGTAGGGCTTGAGCCATGGGTAACATAGGCAACCGAAGACTTTGAAGTAATCATAGTTAGGAGGGTGACCGAACAAGAGCTCGTAAGGTGATTTAGATTGAGTGTTAGGTGAGGGGAGGCAATTTATGAGTGAATTTGCGGTGAGCACAGTGTCGACCCAAAATTGTTGGGGAAGAGAGGCTTGAATTAGTAAGGTGCGTGCGGTCTCGATTATGTGGCGGTGCTTGCGTTCGGCGACGCCGTTCTGGTTTGGAGAGTGAGGGCAGGATGTTTGCTGTATAATGCCATTGTTCCGACAGTATATAGAGAATTTATTGTTTAGGAATTCGCCGCCGTTATCAGACCGAAGAATGCTTAACTTGCTATTAAATTGCCGTTCTATGAGTTTTTGAAGTTCGATAAATTTGTTAAACACTTCAGATTTATTTATAAGCGGAAATATCCATGTAAATTTGGAAAAATCGTCAATGAATAACACGTAATATCTAAAGCCAGTATGAGAGGTAATAGGAAACGGACCCCAGACGTCCGAATGGAGAAGAGAAAAAGCAGTTTTAGTTACACTAGAGGAGGGGTAAGTAGGTAATCGGTGTCCCTTGGCCATGTGACAAGAGTTGCACGTAGTAGTAGTCGGTGTAATGTTGCTGTGTCGTCTGGATATAGCTGCCAGAGTAGATGCCGAGGGGTGTCCTAAGCGCCTATGCCAGAGATCTTGAACGTGTTGGACGGAGACGAGAGCGAGCCCAGCAGTGTGAGAGACTGCACGTTTGTAATTTTGGAGGGGATAGAGACCGTTAATAGCAGGACCCGTGAGAAGACGGCGGTGGGTCTTCCGGTCCTGTATTTCATAACCATTGGGAGAGAAAATAATAATGCAGTCGTTATCTTGCGTAAGTTTTTGAACGGAAATTAAATTAAAGGAGAGGTTGGGTACGAGATTGAGATTCTTTAGAATCAGTCTACCTGTTGGCGTAGGTAGAATACCTTTACCCGTGTTGTGTATTGGTAGTTGATGGCCATTACCCACAATTACTTGGCTGGAGCCATTGTAGCTTTGAGGCTGTTGAACACGGTTTGGGTCGGAGGTTAGGTGTGTTGACGCTCCACTATCAAGGAACCAGTCGGAGGGTGTGGATGGAGTTGAGTTAGTAAAGAGTGCCGGTGTGGGATCTGTGTTGTAGTTGTCGTCGTGTCGGTGCCAGCATTTGATTGCGGAGTGACCGT